CCCTTGAATTATCAATAACTTCATAAGATAGAAATTATATATATTGCATTGATAGATTCAAGCACTGCCTGCCAAGGATGCATGAACAATCAATCAATCCATTAACAGTGCCTTGTCTAAACCATTTCCCACCCAATAATTAGAGTCATTTAGTAATTCCTGAATAATAATGTTACGTACACATAATATATCTACATAAATACATCAAGAAAATTGTCTACAAAAATATATCAAGAAAATTCATTGTGTGTTTTAAATTTATTCTAAATGTGAACTCACAATACATGAGTTGAATCTGGATCATGCATAATTAATCTAAAATTTTTTCTATACACATATCTTTACTAGTTCATAATTATCAACTTAGCATCATGATTTGTGGTGGTAGCTTTCTTTGCTAGAAAAATTCAAAACACTCAATCATATCACTCTTTTTATTTTTCCATATGTCTTTTCTTAAAAATTCAAAAAATCAATTAAAATAGTCACTTCTCAAACACCCTCATCATGTTCCTAAGCAAATAACAACAGTAGTCACAAACGGGTGGAGTTGGCTTAACCCCTAGAATAGTTGTCACACACATAATATTGCATCCATCTATCAGTTTTTACATAGCCTATTTTTTTGATAATTCAATATCCAGCTCATTAGTCGGCGGGGAATTAAAACTGGGTCAAAGCCCCGGACGAACTAACACCAAGAAATTAAGAGTTTCATATACACATATCACGATGGTTCTGTGAGAATATTAAATAATTTATCTCCTTTTAAAAAGCTGTATTAATTAAACTTAAACAAAGCATTAATTAACTAATTGCAACTAGTTTGAGTCAAATGAATGAATGAATATATACTTGTTTGCTTCTTTCATTGCTAGTATCAAAAATAAATGCAAGTAAAAGTGTTGCGCATATACGTAGAGTGAAATCTAAGTCTGCTCAGCAAATAAATCGGACCGAGGTAGATGTGTACTTTAATCTTCATGTGCGTCGTTGATAAACTCATTGCCAACTTGAACTCATTCAACAGACTCCTATTAAATGCCACAAACCAACCCAGCATTGCCTTCTCCAAAATTATTTAATGTTTTCCAAAGTAACATATCACATTATTTACATAGTATTCTTCGTAAATAAAAAAATGTTATCATTTGTTTTACAACTATCAAATAAATACTATAACATATAAGAGTTTTAGAAACCAAATATTTTGATCTCTAAAAGTGAAAATTTTGTTACAAAAAATATTTAGACATTAATTTTCATTGTCATGAGGATAGTCGCTAAAATGTTGTCTTCAAAAGTAAAAAATAAGGCTTTTAGAGACCAAATTTTGAAAATGTCACTAACAAATAGACATTTAGGGACAAAATAATTTAGTCTCAAAATGGTTTATCTTTTTAGGCAAAAAATTTGGTCCCAAAAGGATAATAATTCATCACTAATGTCTAATTTTTGTTGCTAAAAATATAATAACGACACTTTTCGCAACAAAAATATTTGGTCCCTAAAAAATAATTTTATCCTTAAATTTTGGTATCTAAAACCTTAATTTTTTGTAGTAAAGGCGAGTCAACATGTATCACTCATACATTTTATGTTACGTGATTAGTCTAAATAAGGATAAATTACATTATTGTACCGGCATTTTATTCATGATGTCAGTTTGGTTACATTCTTAATTAGTTCAATTTTGACCATTAGTTTTAGATTTTGTGTTAATTTAGATGAATTGATAATGTCAGTTAAGATTTTTGACGAAAAATTGTCATTGAGTTAATTGAGATTAACTCACTGAGCTAAGAAATTTACAATTTTTTCTCTAAAAACATGGCAAATGTTGCTCATGTAAGCATTTTCCATCAAAAAATAAAAATAAAAATGCTAACGATTTAATCAGTTGAGACTAAATTCATACAAAAAATGACTTAAGGATCAAACTTAAGTCACTTGAAAGTAGAAGGATCAAAACGACATACGGACCAAAATAGAGGGATTACCAATGCAATTTTTCCTTTAAATACTCTGGAACTACCGAATAATTAACTTATCTTCTTTAGCTTAAAAAGACTATTCATCTTTATATACATATATATATATATATATATAATATTGTCTCAAAGTAGTTTCCAATATATGTTGTTAGAATACTGCACAAATAAATTTTTTATAGAAAATGACATAGTTTAATTGAGGTTTTTCAATTTAAAACATAATACATATGAAGAAAGCTTTCTATTTACAAAAACAATATTGTGACATCATTCTAAATTTGAGGTTGCACCTAGAATTAATCTAAATTTGCAACTATTTTTATCCATAAGTTTTTTATACCAACTCTAAATAATACCTGGAATTACTTGGAACAAGATGCTAGTATTTCAAGCAACCATGACCTCTGACCAAATTCTTTCACATCTATACATGATGTATATGGAGACTTGAATGAGATTTGGAGACATTGATATGCATATCATATATACATACATATACAAACTATAAGTTTATCCCAAGTTTATCCCATATCCATTAGTCATTGTTAAGTGATGCCACAAAATAAATCTAATATTAGTGTATACAATATGACCCATCAGTTTATATTAATGTTTGGACAGACAGAAAATGGCAAATAATTTTTCTATGCAAACAATGAGAGAGAGAGAGAGAGTAAAAACAAAAGAAAATATATGACAGTGAAGGGAATGAAGTTCCTCTTAGCTTCTCTCTCACAACCACTCAGGTTGAACTCTACACGCCACGGAAACCCTCTTTTAATTTTAGAAAATAAATTATATCTAGCTAGCCGGACCATTGACTATCCAACAATACAAACTTATAAATAACACAAGATACCCTAGGTTGGCAAAGTAGAAAGAGAGCTTTATATTTTTTGTATTATGTCATAGAAATTAATACCCTTCAAGCTAGCAAATTAAGCCAAATTTTTCTCATACATATGTTAATAACTTTGCAATACCAACTGCAGAAAATTGATTTATATTTCATTGATTTTTTATCATCATTTTGTTTATTGTCAAAATAATTATAAATAATAATAATAAAGTCGAAATTTTTTCTTACTATGTGTATGGTAATATAAAATAATAATAATAATAATCAATCTAGATATCAATGTACATAACATAACCCAATACAATCATGTCATTAGCTATTCCATTCTCCATAAAGTTTTAAATACCGGTTGATAGACATTTAAATTTTGGACTTTCAATACATATATTCACTGATATATTGGAAGATAGTATCCGATGTCAACCTATATATGATTGTATCATTAATGTTGTTATATATGCCAATATCATTAGTTATTGGGTTGGACTTTTTTCAAGTTCAATTCTTAAGTTTAAATTTGAACTTGAGAGAATTCTTCGGATCCATAGGGCCCACTATGAGTTACATTTCGATAATCAAATGGTTCATATGGTAGAGTCATCCATGTATATTATCCATGAAAAAATTAGATCAATCCTATAATTGTAGTATTTTCATTTCATAGCATTTGTCTGAAAAAAATAAAATAAAAATTAAAATGGATACAAACACTATAAAATTAAAATATTATGGTTATCGGATCGATTTAATTTTTTTAATAATAAATATACACAGAGGACCCTATATAATGAACGATTAAAATAATCAAAACTAAAAATCAACAAGACTTAGCCTAGTTAGCCATCATGACTCTTCTATAGGTTTAGTCCCAAAAGAGAGTCATGGGTTCAACTCTTTCTAAGAGAGAGTTGAATTAAAGGGTAAACACTTGGTGCTTTGTAAGAATGGGGGAGACTAACTCTTCTAAGTCTTAATCTTATAACTAATAAACAATGATAATAATCAAAACTAAATATGTGATGAGCCTATAGATTTAAACATAGCCCAACCCTTATTTAAAACAATAAATTTGGCTCGGCTCAACCTGTACGGGCTCGGGTTAGCCCAATCTCGGGCCTATCGGGCTCTCGCCATTTTTTGAGCCGGGTCAGCCCACTCATTGAAAATAGCGACCCAAGCTCAAGCCCAAGCCCATTGAAAATTGGGCTTCAAGCTAGCGGGTCAGGCTTTGGGCTAGCCTGACAATTATTATTTTTATTTTTTGCACCAAAATTGCTTGAGAACCGGGCAAGGCTTTGGGCGGGCTAGGCCAAAAAAACATAGTCCGGGCCCTAGCCTGGAAGGCCAGGCCTAATTGGGCCTCACGCTAGGTTGGGACCAGGGGACCAGTTTTTCATCCCTAGTCATAAACAAACGGCCAGCAACCTTTCATACTCTTTCCAAATTATATCCAGCAGGATTCAGTCAAAGAAAGGTAAAAAGAAGAATCAAATAGAACAGGAAGTATATAATAATAATGCATAATACTCAAAAATAATAAAATATATAAATAATGATAATAAAAGAAAGAAAGGAAAATGAATGTAATATTACTGAACAAATGTTTCGAACATTCAATTCGGAATATTAAATTTGTAATCTACAAGGACGAGAAAAAGTTATGCTTGTTGCATTCAGATCATCAAATTTTTAAGAGATACTAAACTACATAAATGGGAAGAATCACAAGTTCACAACCTTACCTTTTGTCTTCTAAAAACAACATTCAGATCCTTCAATGGCACAGACAAAGATGTGCGAATTCCATCTATCTGCAGTCAACTAAATACTGCTTGTTCCCGACACCACTGAACATCTCACCACGAAACCATTGCCATTTTCAAGCCAAAGATATTCTTTATGTCTTTCTGTCCTAAATCATTTACGAACATTGGATACATTTATTATCATATATGTAATAATATAAATGTACAAGAATTTAATGGTTGTGACTATTTTGGGACGGGGGCACAAAAAAAAAACATGGATAGAATATCCTGTGCCGTGCGTGCCCCATTCCCCACTTTAATAGGATACATTGCTTTTCCTACATATTTTCTCTTTAGATTAGGACAAGAAAACTCAACATAACAAGGGACAAGTCAAGCTTGATTTTCCCTGATGGGCATATATGATAATTTCTGCATTTAGTGGCCTTTCAAGAGTAAATGATAAGAGATATTCAAGATAAGGAATGTGAAAGAAAGAAAGATACAAGCTAACCAACAATATCTAAACAAGATATGGGATTTCTGTCATAGACTAAGACAGTAATTACAGTACTACTCAACAACCCAATAATTCCAATAATCTAGTACTGATCACCTTATTTCTCTTGATTCATTATATATAGAAATTATGGATATAAATAAATGAGATATTAAGCCTAGAAATTTAACCAAAGTAGGAGACATTTTCATTTGAGATGGCACTATAGTCTGTAGCATTCGATGGAGGGGTGTACAAGGAAGAAGATGAAGAAGTGGGAGGAAGAGAAGGAGGAGGCTGCGGCAAGGGCGGTGATGGTGATGGAGCTGGTGGTGGTGCAGCAATCGAAACAGCAGCCCCGGAAGAAAGTAGAGCTATATGAGAAGAAGGAATGATAGTACTTTCCCTGTACTTGTATCTCAGTATCTCAGCCCTTACTGCATTAAGTTCAGCTTGTAAAGATTGAACTTGTTGTTGCAAAGCCGAAATTGCCCCCATACACCCATAAACTGGGTCTCTAAGCCTCACATTCGCCTCATAAACAAGACTATTCGCTGCATCAGCTCTTTGGCTCTCTGGAACCTCCTGATTTAACCATAAAACAAAAAAGATATGATCAATACCAATGAATATGTTTTTTTAAAAATTAGCAGATAAGTATTGAATCGAAATTTTGAATTTTTGATGCTGATTCATCAACATATTGGCCAATATTATCTGATATTAGACGATGGTATTTAAAATTATGATGATAAGATAAGCGTGAGTATGAGAAATTAAAGCCGTGTATGTATGCTTTTCTTCATATGTATGTTTCTTAAAGCCATATGTATGCATGCTTTTCTTCATCAATAAAGTTTATGCGATTCAAAAAAATGAGTATGAGTAATTAGGGTTTACCATTAACATCTTTGAAACATTACTTGCACCAAAGACTTTGTGAACAGAAGCAAATCTTTGGGGTTCATGAGGGGAGAAATATGGAGAAAAGGGGCATTCTTGGGCACACCGCCGCCTCAAGAGCTTGCATGCCGCGCAAGGTGTGATGGTGTTGAGGATTCCAGGAGGGCTCAACATATGTCTTCTTCCCATTCGAGAGGAGGCATCGGATTCTCTCTTGATCTTCTTCCCTATCTCATCAAATCTCTCCCTGCCAAGAACAAACAATATGAAAACAAAAACTTCTAAGAACAAAATTGATGTTTTAATCCAAAAATGCATCTATAACCACACACTAATTACGGTTCTTGATGAATCTTTATCTAATGGTCAAATCAAAACAGTACTGTTCAAAAGTTGTCCCTCCATAATCAAAGCACAAGTACATAACAGAGAGAGGAAAGTGACTTGGGTTTCATTTCTTTTTCCTCTTCTTCCTTTTCTCCTTCAAATCTTTACAACTTAGAAGTACGCTACTAGAGAGAGAGAGCTCTGTGATTTACCTTTCTCTGGACATTCAGGCATGCTATCTGTATGTGGAGCTGAAGAGAGAGAGAGAGAGAGGTTGGCGGGGGGAGGGAGGGTTAATAAGCTGTTCTTGAAAGAATAACTATGCAGTAAAAGTTGGTTCTAGCGTTTATAAAAGAAAGAAACAAAAGGGATATATAGGTATGAGCAGTAGTGGGGAGTGACTGAAATTTGAAAGATGATTTTGATTTTGTTTTTGTTTATGTTTATGGTGTTGCAGATGCTGGTGTGGACCTGTCTGTGGGTTGATGATGTACGAGGATAGAATTGCAGAAATTTTATGGTTTGCAGAGAAGCTACTGTGTGACTCTGTGTGAGAAAGAGATCAATTGCTGAGCATTGATCAATATATGGGAGGGACTGCGGGACAGAGAGGAATTCAGAGAGAGTTATGTTGTTCTATAAATGCCAACTCTCTCTGTCTCTCATCTATTGCTCACTCGTGTGAGTCCTTACATAGTGTTGACTTTTTGCACCTAGCATTTGATTTGATTTCAAATTCACCACTTGTTGCGTTTGGGAAGGTGTTACAATTTTTATTTTATTTTATTTTATTTTTTTTGAGAAAACATTTTATTGTTTTTGATTTACTGAAAACATGAAATATTTTTGCGGTTATTGTGGAAAGTGAGGCTGGAGGTGGGGAGACTGACTCGAAATAATTGTAACTGACATTGGCTAGAGGCGGTGAAGAAGAGAGAAGAGAAGGAAAATTGTTTGAAAAGTAGGGTAAGAATTGTCTTCTTCTTCTTTTGCATAGAATTAGTAAAATTAGAAATATTTAGAGAATGAAAATAAGCATTAAACAAGTATTTTTTTTCATTTTTAAACATAAATATTACCAAATATATAATAACTTTCTCTTGTTTTCTTAATGCAGCTAAAGTACACTATGAACGGTTTCAAATGAAGAAAAAATGAAATATCTACAAGAATTTTGAGAGAATGTTTAAATGATTGTGTTAATAACACAACTCAAAATTATTTTCTAAAAGGTTGTTATGTATCGCTGAAGTAGTCTACCAAAACTCTTCACTTCTATATAATTTCTTACATTGTATGTAGGACTGAAAATGAATAAAGTCATTCCTGAATAAGCTTGAGGGCGGTTCGGTAAGAGCCCATTCAAACATTGTTCGTTATTTTTTAATATTTTTTTATTATTTTATTTTTTTGCATTCGAGCTTGTTAAAATTTTAATAAACAAGTTCAAATATACTAAAATTTGGCTTATAAGCTCAGCTAGTTAGTTGGCTCGTTTAATATTTATTATTTATATATTAAATAATGTAAATATATATATATATATAAAATAAGATAAATATGTTATTTATATATTTAAAAAATATAAATGTAAATAATAACTAACTTTAGACAATATATTTATATAATAATTGTGGTAGATATTTTTAGTTTAGTAAAATATTGACTTTTTCTTTAGTATGTTGTATAATCAAAATTTTAATTGTAACTTTAATCTCATACACAATTATAAATTTTTAAATTTTTTAGCTCGTTAAGGCTCGTGAACAAGCTTAAGCTCGTGAACAAGCTTAAGCTCGAATCAAGCCCAAACTAATTTGGCTCGAGCTCGGTTCATTAAATTTTTATTGAACTCAAGTTCGAGTTCGAGCTCGAACTCAAACTCGAACTCATTAACATCTTAATAAATAAGTCCAAATATGCTAAACTCTGCTCGTTTGCCTCCCTAATTGTATAATAAGTCTCATTATTTTACATAGTCCAACAGATATATATGACTTTTTTTTACATCAATACACTTAAAAAGTGAAACAATACAATGAAACAAAATCAATAAAAAATAGCATTCTCTATAATCTATATAAAAACTCTATTTTCATTGCTAAGAAAAGTTATGTTAGTTTCATGTCAATATCAGGAAGCCACTCTCATTAAAAATGGCCATCATGTATCTGGGGCGATATAATTCAAAAGATCAATTCGAAATTAATATCACCATCACCGTGTAGAAACCGCTAACCGTTGCTTTAAGATGTCAAAGACTAAATGCAAAACCATGTGATCTGTTACCAAACATCATTTCGAAAATGAAAGTAATTTGTAAATATAAAATTTATATAAAAATATATATTTAGAATGATGTATCAATGACATTTGTGAAATAATGAAAACAATATATAAGCCAATAGTAGTGTTTTCATTAGAGATGAGAGGATCACACCCTCATTTTATATTGAAATTTTGTATAAAAATTATGTTTGTATATCATTACTCTTTAAAAAAATCTTGTCATAAATAATGTACGGCTGGGCTTCCTTCCCGTCCAAATCTGGACGGGAGGGCCCTATCTAGATCCATGAGACTCGTCTCGGGTCTTATTTTGATTATTCGAATTGTTTATTTTGTTGAATCTTTCAAAAGTTAAGGTGGTCCGATAATCGTCGCTTATTCAATTTATCATCTTTGTCACTAAACTCAATAAATAATCTATTTTAAAAAACACACTTGTCGTTTGGAGACAAATATAATAAAATAAACAGATTACGATTATCGAATCAACTTAATTTTTCTTGTAGATGATATTTACGAAGTCTGCTACAAAGAAAAATGCTATGAACCCACCTTTAGGAACCTATAATTTACCCCAAATAGGTTTGTATGGTGGAGATTAAATTGATAAAGTGGGGTCCATGAGTAAAATGATTTTAAACCATTAATTTCATTTTATGAGTAAATTCTAAATTGATAAGGGTGGGTTTGTAGTGTTATTGCTACTATAAAATAAATAATTTAAATTATTGAAATGAGACTCACAGTGGACCGCACAGGCTGGAACAACACATGTAGACACAATAATGTATCAAGTGTTGGATATAATATAAGGGGACTTAGGTCTCGTTTGGGAACAGGTTAATTTAGTAACTTTTTGGCTATTTGGCTAAAATATGAGCTAAAAAAAATTAGTATGTTTGGGATGACTTTTTGGTTTTTTACGAAAAGATGTGCAAAAAGTAGAGAGAAAATAGAATCTTTGACTTTTTGATATGAATTGTTGGTTTTTTGGCTAATTTAATAACTTTTTGACTTTTTAGCTAAAAAAGAAGGTTCCCAAACGAGGCCTTAATTTATATAATACAAAAAATTAAATGACAAAGTCATCAATTTGATCTTTATAATTTTAATTGTAATGATTTTGTCATTTAATTTTTTCTATTATATAAATAAAGTCAAATTAATAACCTCTGTTAAGACAACAGATAGAAATCAAAGGCGATATGGTCCATTTCAAAGGATAGTGACCATTTCAAATGAGTGTTGCTAAATACTCTACTTTTTCACTTTAGACCCGTCACTTCTTTGAACCATCACACACATAATTGAATCCCTCTTATCTTCTATTTGAAACTTCACATTAATCCCAACTATACCCTTCTTCTTTGGACTCCCAACTCTTTTCCTGACAACCTCTTCATACCGTCGGCAGCCCTTCACTGTTAACGACCTTCCTTATGGCAATCTCCCCATTGCAAACTCCACTCCCACTGGTGACCCCACTACCCCCACCCACCACAGCTCTATCTGCCATGCTCCAGCAAATATTCTAACACATTCCCACCATTGCTTGCTTTTCCTCAACCTCCCTTTGTCCTTTCTCCTCTGTACTACCACCCTCAACCCATCTCCAACCACCACCACCCAGTCTCATCCTTACCTTCTCTCTCTCTCTCTCCCACTCACGATTAAGATCACGATTGCGGGTCTCCGTTTGCCTCTCTCTTTCGTGATCAAAGAAAAAAGGCAAAGACAATGTGGTGGCTAGGGTTCGCGAATGCGGAAGGCAGGCTAGGATTTGGAGAAGAAATATGGGGGTGGCTGTGGGAGGAGATATGGAATGAGGATAGATTGGGGTAGTGCCAAAGATGGAGGGTGGCTGAGCAAATGGGGTTGTCACAAGTTGGGGGAGGCAGACGGCTTTGGGGTAACAGGGAGGGTGGATAGCGACAGCCGGAGGTGATGGAGATGGCCAGTGGGATTAGGGTTAATGCTTGGGAAATTAGAGTTAGAACTTAGGGATGAGGGTAAAAGTAGAATTTTATGTTTAGAAAAAATTAGAATTAAAAAAATAAATAAAATAAAAGAGGTTGGCTCCTAAGAAAAAAGGTATGGATAAATAGCAATACTCGTTCAGATTAAATTTTAATCCCTCAACAATTTTGAGGAGAATAAATGAATCATTTTCTCTCAATTTCAATCTTTTTTTTTTTAAAGAGCATTATCAATTAAATTAAATTGACACAATATAAAATATTTTAAGATAAAATTGATGCAATTAGAACTATAAGGATCATAACATAAGAGATAAATTATAAGGACTACGGGTGTAATTTGATAAAGTTCTCCCTCTCTAAAACAACTTAAACCTTTAGTTTGTTAATCAAGTCTGACTTAAGAAGTTAACAAGTTTTAAATTGTATGTTTGATTTATTTACCTTTCAAGCAAATTTCAAACAAATTTAAATCAAGTCGAACTCAAGTAATTTAGCTTTATAGTGCATATAATTGAGCCAAATTAAGAAGTAAGTTATTTAAAGTTTGACTTAAAAACTTAATGAGTTTTAAAAATATATTTGAATTTGACTTTTTTAACCAATCAATCTCAAACCAAGGCCCTTGGCTTGGTGGTTGTGTAGCACTATTTTATGGTGTGAAATTATGGATTCAACTCATATGGAGAGGATTTTGATATCATTTATGATTTTTATTTTTGCTTCGGTATGGGGGCTGTATATAATTATTTATTTCTTCTCGAGTTTGAGTTAGCGGTAGTCGTTGAGCTGGGTGAGTGTTGGGTTTTCTAACAATTATTTGGACTTTAGTAATTCAATTTAATGTAATATTTCTTAAATTTATAACTACTCTTCTACTTATTGATACAAAAAAATAATCACTCTCAAATAAATTTTTAATCGACACAAGCTCATTAATTTTGTGGCTCACATTAAGTGAAGTTAGGGTCTTGCTGTGAATCATCATGGGATTGCTTAACAAATCTTTTACTACATGATTGAGATTCACAGACTACATTGTCACCAAAATACACAGAAAAAGACGGGGCAACCTTCCACACAAGTTCAACAACTTTCATAAATTATATCCTTAAGCAAGTGACTCATGCTAACATGTGCTGAATTTAAAGACATCTCACCTACTTTATCCCCAAATGGGAGGTATTGTACAATAAGAATCTTGCAATATTTTTTAATAAAAGAATCATGTCAGGAAAAAAAAAAAAAAAAATTTGAAAAAAGAAAAGTGGAAAAAAGTGACAAGAAAGTAATATATATGGTATAAATTGAAATTTGATGAAATATGAATCACATAAGAATAAATTTAATTCAATACACGTTATTTTTTGAGTATTTTTTAGACTATGATTTTTAACTCCGTAACTTTACT